TAGTGTTGTAGTAAAACATGTAGCACTAGTACAGAGCACATAGTACTGCTGCTGTAGTAAAACACATAGTACTAGTAGCTAGTAAATACACAGTACTAGTGTTGTAGTAAACACATAGTACTAGTGTTGTAGTAAACATGTAGCACTAGTGTTGTAGTAAACACATAGTACTAGTGTTGTAGTAAACACATAGTACTAGTGTTGTAGTAAACACATAGTACTTGTGTTGTAGAAAACATGTAGCACTAGTGTTGTAGTAAACACATAGTACTAGTGTTGTAGTAAACACATAGTACTGGTGTTGTAGTAAACACATAGTACTTGTATTGTAGAAAACATGTAGCACTAGTGTTGTAGTAAACACATAGTACTAGTGTTGTAGTAAACATGTAGCACTAGTGTTGTAGAAAACACATAGTACTGCTGTTGTAGTAAACACCTAGTACTAGTGTTGTAGTAAACACATAGTACTAGTGTTGTAGTAAACACATAGTACTAGTGTTGTAGTAAACACATAGTACTTGTGTTGTAGAAAACATGTAGCACTAGTGTTGTAGTAAACACATAGTACTAGTGTTGTAGTAAACATGTAGCACTAGTGTTGTAGTAAACATGTAGCACTAGTGTTATGTAAACTACATAATAGTACTAGTGTTGTAGAAAACATGTAACATAGTGTTGTAGTAAACATGTAGCACTAGTGTTGTAGTAAACATGCTTACTAGTGTTGTAGTAAACATGCTTACTAGTGTTTGTAGTAAGCTTATATGCTTGCTAGTGTTGTAAACATGTAGCACTAGTGTTGTAGTAAACACATAATAACACTAGTGTTGCTTAGTAAACATGTAACACACTAAAGTGTTGTAGTAAACACATAGTAGCATGTTGTAGTAAACATGTAGCACTAGTGTTGCTAGTAAACACATAAATATTAGTGTTGTAGTAAACATGTAGCACTAGTGTTGTAGTAAACATGTAGCACTAGTGTTGTAGTAAACATGTAGCACTAGTGTTGTAGTAAACACATAGTACTTGTGTTGTAGTAAACACATAGTACTAGTGTTGTAGTAAACATGTAGCACTAGTGTTGTAGTAAACACATAGTACTAGTGTTGTAGAAAACATGTAGCACTAGTGTTGTAGTAAACACATAGTACTAGTGTTGTAGTAAACACATAGTACTAGTGTTGTAGTAAACACATAGTACTAGTGTTGTAGTAAACACATAGTACTTGTGTTGTAGAAAACATGTAGCACTAGTGTTGTAGTAAACATGTAGCACTAGTGTTGTAGTAAACACATAGTACTAGTGTTGTAGTAAACACATAGTAATAGTGTTGTAGTAAACATGTAGCACTAGTGTTGTAGAAAACACATAGTACTAGTGTTGTAGTAAACACATAGCACTTGTGTTGTAGTAAACACATAGTACTAGTGTTGTAGTAAACATGTAGCACTAGTGTTGTAGTAAACACATAGTACTAGTGTTGTAGTAAACATGTAGCACTAGTGTTGTAGTAAACATGTAGCTGTGTAAACACATAGTACTTGTGTTGTAGTAAAATACAGTACTAGTATTGTAGTAAACATGTATCACTAGTGTTGTAGTAAACATGTAGCACTTGTGCTGTAGTAAAATATGTAGCACTAGTGTTGTAGTAAACATGTAGCACTAGTGTTGTAGTAAACATGTAGCACTAGTGTTGTAGTAAACACATAGTACTTGTGTTGTAGTAAACACAGTACTAGTATTGTAGTAAACATGTAGCACTTATGTTGTAGTAAGCATGTAGCACTAGTGCTGTATCGATTTCATTGAACTTGAGTTGTAGTTAGCATTTGTGGTCCAGAGCGGCTACACCCTGCTAGATTGCACCTGTTCTGTGATCCTCGTCGACCACTAGCCCCCGCTCACCTACACTTGTATAGCTGGTCAAGGACCGTCTGATAGACCAGGAAACTCACCCGAGATAAAGTTAATTACATGTATGGGAACTATGTCCTCTTGGTTCACAGTCTGAGTTACAATCTCGACGGCCGAGTCCAAGAACTTTGATCTCAGTCAGCTGCTGCAGCACCAGGCACGAGGGACCACGGGTTTACCACCTCAGCATGACGGGGAAACTTGGGAGGTTCAAATGGAATTATAAACGTCCTGTCTCCTGCCTTGTAGATCTTGAGTCAACTCCACCATCCGCCTTCTCCTTCACAGGAAAAAGTGCTTGTTTTCCCCGCCCCGCCCCGCCCCGCCCTGCCTCCTGGCCACCGGCGACCCTCTCACGGCTCAGGGTGGAAATTTCCCAGGAGTGGCTTCGTCCATCAGGAGTGAAAGGGCAGTGAGTGTGGCCGCCGGGCCATTCCCCTGTTGCCGTTCTGCTTGAGTTAGACACAGAGAGGGC